CCAAGCAGCCCGAGGCAGAGTGCTTCAGGAGGTAAAACACAACAAGCATTAAACTCATATCTCTTCAGCAGCAAGAATGAGCTCCTGTTTTACCTCCATCCCACATTGCGCATTACAGCTCAGTGTGATGTGGCCACTAGACAGACCACAAAATAAAAATATGGAGGTAGGACGTGGACTGGCAGCATTATTGGTTCAGAGTTCCCAGGCCTGACAGTTTTTCATGCAGGTTTGTGAACCAACACCACTTTAAAATTCAGGTGTTTTATGTAACTTCTGTGAAAAGGAAGCTGAATTTCAACACCCCTTTTCCTCAGTTAATGTTGGAGGGCTTCTTCACATTGGAAATCACACCAACTTTCCAAATGTTTCTCTGAGCTCAAAAAATTTCATAGCATTCTAGTTAAAGCCAAAAAACCCAAAATGTTTTGGACTTGGTTACATACTGCTTGCTGTCTCAAGAACAGGAAAGTGAAATGAATGAATTCTGAATTCTCAAAAGGAAGGAGAAAAAAAAAAGATCCAGAGGGGACTTCTGCTTTCTCACCATCAATGAATGTAGCTCTGCCTATTTTGTGCTCTGGCTAAACAACTGTACATCATTTCAGGATTTGAACTCATCAAATAAACTTCACTGCATCTCACAGTGGAGGACTGAGGCTGACCACAGTAATTTCAACTATCCATTGCCAAACTCCCCATATCCAGTCTGAACTCAGAAATATCAGTGCAGAACAAGGAGCAGGAAAGGGATAAATTGTTTTAGGACTGTGTTATGATAGGGAGATGGTGTCTAAGCTACTTCACCCGCAGTAAGAAAAAAGACCCCTAAGCCTGGTCAAAATGCAGGTAATTAAGATTATATATTACTTTGGAATAGAACAGAAAATAGCAGAAGAGAATGAATATTCAGTTAGAAGGGACCTACAATGATCATCTAGTCCAATTGCGTGACCACTTCATGTTAGCAAGGGCATTGTCCAAAAGCCTCTTAAATACTGACAGGCTTGAAGCATCCACCACCTCTTTAGGAAGCCTGTTTCAGTGTTTTACCACCCTCTCGGTAAAGAA